AATTCCTCGAATATTCTGGTAACTTCCAATTTCCAGGTCCATATGGCACCGAAAGCCGTTCAGAAAAATTGATAATTTAGATTTTTTATATATATTTAGAAATGTAGATAGTACGGACTCAAAATGTCGGAGACTTTGGAGACATGAACCCAGAAAGATCTCCATTCATCCAATGATGTTTAGACTGAAAAACGAAACGTCCGAACGTCTCTCCTTTCTCAGAATTCCAGTCCAGAAAAATGTTCTCTCAATTATCATTGTAAACAGGCGGAGAAATATCAAAGTAATGCCTTCACGAAATGTTAACTCCAAAATGAACTGTTGAAGAATTTTGCCGAAAATTTCCGGTTACTTCGCGCGTTGTTAAAAATTCCATGTTTCTTATGTGAAATTGTGAATGTAATTTTCCAACAGATCAAATGGATGACTTGTGAATGAATTCTTATAGCAATTGTGAACAGAATTGTTGTGCAGACTCAGTGAGAGGACACGGAATGAAACTCGCGGCTGGAAGAGTTCAAGGATAACTTCAACGATAACATCTGTACATTGTGCACGGGTTAACTCATTATGTGGCTGTGTGCATTAAATCGATATCAATTGATTAACGAGTGCTATTTATCATGGGGCATACTTGAGACTCTCCAGCATCCGTATGAAATTACATGGGGGGGATACAATCCAATGTATACCTCGTGGACAAATATACATTACATACGAACAATATTATTTCTACGTTATGAAACCGGATGTCTCGTGAGTCCTTTCCCATGTTCCGTAGAGAGGCCATCGCGTGCTGCTATCATCTTAGTACATCCATCCATGAAAAAAATGTTGAATTAATTTTGGTCGTTATACGGAGAAATTTTTGGACGGGTAAAAATTACCGGGGTGGTAAAATTACCAAAACGGAAAAATTACCGGGTGGTAAAATTACCGGCCTGGGAAAATTACCGGGGTGGTAAAATTACCAAAGTTGAAAAATTACCAGGCTGGTAAAATTACCGGGCTGGTAAAATTACCGGGTTGGTAAAATTACCGGAGTGTCCAGTAAGGGTGGAGCATTGCAAACTCCACATATTAATATTCATTTTCAGTAAAATTTCCAAGCTATCACCTCGGTTAATTTCTCTTCGTGTGAAAAAAGCTCAAAGCCATCTGAATATACAGATGTGATTGCGAGTAATAATGAAGATAATATTTCAAGAAATTAGTTGTGAAATTGGAAACTTGAGACTAGAAAATATGAGCGATGGAGAACCTTCTTCTCAGCAGCAAGACATTTTCTCTCAGAGTCGTGCCTGCATGAGTTGAAAAAATCTCCACATTGTTCCACCGTGACTTAGCAATAGCAAATGAAATTCGAAGATACAATTGCACCTTTCTCCTTGCACCCAGTGTTTTGCATCGATTTCTTGGGTCAATTGATAAATAATTCGATGTGTCAAGGGAAAGTGTACCAAAGGAGATAGTGCACATGTTGAAAAAGAGATAAGTATTGTGGCCAAGCTGGTTTTCAAGACATTCAGCAACAAGTAAAACATTGTCCTCCTTTTCTCTCATTGCAATTCCACCTGACTTATCATTAATATTGATCAGCCCTTCATTGATTATCATCCGATCACGATCTGACACCAAAAGTTACCGTCAAATTTTCAAAATATTCTTTTTCCACAAAATCGAGAAAGTGGAACGTACGTGGAACTTCTCCCTCGAGACATACACTGTACGCAAAAAAAAAAATAAAATTGTGCAGTTGCACATCTTGCAGACGGTCATCCAGAAAAATTGACCGGGTGAAAGTTAGCTTTCGGTTGTCCAGTCATAAATCATTAGCCCCTTTCTGCAGATTCACATTATCATTTCAATCATCACCCATTATTATTTCTCTGTTTCATATCACCAAGATGGAGGTGATAAGGAGCAAAGAGAGAGATATCGAAAAACTGGAGAAACTTGCGAAGCGAAAATTGAGGGCCCGGGAGACAGAACTGGTATGTAGTCATTACTTCTATCATTTTAACTGACCAGTAAAATTCAGGATCACCTGTTATCCTGTCGCCATTATGAAAGTTCAAGTTTCTATTCGCTGATAGCAAAATTTAATTCTTATTACCGTTAGAACAATAAAATAAACATGAATAATCCACCAATTAAACAAATTAATTCAATACAAATTATAATTCACGCGAAAATTAATAATTTAACATCAATAAAAACAATTTGCGAATCAGTAATATTAACGTGGAAAATATCCATTACCAGAGCAACTGTCCATTGACAATGTAATTAAATTGAATTAAAGGTTTAAACACAAATATTGTGAAAAATAATATCAGCTGTCGATTTAAAAATAAAAATAAAACGCAAAATGGCGTAAATCTGGAGCAACATAAATTTAATGAAAATAAAATAAAAAATTCGATGGAATTAAAAATTCGAAGGTAAAAAATTGATTTCACTCGAACACTTCGAGCACATCAATAACTGGACTTCCGATTTCTACTAGATCTGGTTTTCTCCTCTAAATTGAGCAATATAAATTTCATCGTGGACTGTTAATGACCCCATCCCAACGATCACTCTGAAGATTCCACTGCGCAATATGGAACAACCGATAAAACGCTCACTATTATTGATGTTAGCTTGAAAGCGTAATGTTTAACGCGTCCGTACTATCATTATTAGTTAAGGAATCACCTCTCCAAGGTGGCCAGAATGGAATTCTCGGTGATGTCCGATGGAAATACAATCGTTAGCAGCTAGAGTGACCGGGTGGAACGCTAATAACGAGTACGTGGAAGCGTTTAATCGGTACGAGGTTTCTCGGTGTTGTATATAAAGGCATGTATATCTTTATTGAGAAAGGTCTCCGTGTAGTCACTTTGAATGGATTTATTTTCTTCTTTTTCTACTTTTTTTTTTCTCTCTTATTTCTGTTAAGTCCTCCACTTTTCTTTCTACTTTGCCGCGCGACACATTTTTTCGATTCCGGACACCGGGGAAAATGCCGGTGTCTCACAAATACTCCACGGGTGGGGGAACACCCAGAAGTTCAAATGTTAAATATTCACACTGTGGGGTCCTCTGATGAACCAGGTAGACGGTATTATACTTTAAACCTATGAGGAAGATTATGTTAGTTACGGTAAGGCTTTTGCGTATTTTGATAACGATCTATGAGCCATATCCTCGACATTGTAACGGTCTGTGAATACTTAATCTTCATTTCTAGATCCGTCACTCGGTTGTTGTTGTTGTTTTTTTTTTCTTTTTTTTTTCGAGGCGCATTGTTTTCGTACCTGCAATTATTTCGCATCTACTCGACTTTCCCGCCGCAAGGTGCATCGCTGGGAAAACCGTTATGAGAGTAATGAAAGAGATTTTTATTATTTTATTTTTGCACGTCCCAATGTGTGCGCTCTGCTGGTTCACCTCGGTGCAACTTAATAACTTCGTTAAAATACAATGAACGTCTAAATGTTAGATTACTGTATGCTTCATTAATTGTTGAAGGAGTTTGGAGTTGTTGGGTCGTTTGATTTGGTTTTTATTTTTTTTGTTGGGTGA